TAATATTATAATGTGTCAACAAATAAACTTTGTTCTGAAAATCTATTTAATTCTCACAATCAACCTTCTTAATTAAACAATTCTTTGATATGATATGGAAGTTCATAGAAATGAAGGGATTTGCCCCAAGTCATACAAGTGATAGTGATTGATCTAGAATCTAAACCTAGGTAAGCTGACTACCTAGCTAGTGATGTAATCAGGCAGACTAATTGAGAGGACTGTGTAGGAACCATTAGCTTGGGACGCACTGGTAGGGGCACAGGAGATGTTGAATCCAGAGTCTCTCCTGAAGGATCATTTGAACTTAGTTGTATCAAGGAAAACCACAACTGTAAGAGCAGCTATTTGGACTGGAAGACATAAGTGGTTCACAGGGAGTTAAGGGATGGCTATAAATTTTGATGAGAGGAGCAGATGAGAGCATATAAGAAAGAAAGTCATGGCCCATTGAAGTAACCTCTGGAGAAAAGTTTCCTTTTTAGACATCTTTTTCCCTCTTGGGATAAACGCAGAGACTAAATGTATTGGGGAATCCTACTACAAGTCTTCTAATGGGGTGCCGCTATAGGAAGAGATGCTGGGTGTGGTCAGGAAAGGGTGCAGGTTTTATTTATAAAATTTGACAAAAATCATTCAATGATTTCCAGTACGGGCCAGTTCTGCCTTTCAAGTTCCAATCAATGATTCTTCCCCAGTTTAGATAAACTTGATTGCGCCTCCCACCACCACTGGAGAATGTTGATAAAAACTCCATTAGCCTGCATGAGATGATATTTAATTTGTACTTGCAAAACTTCTTTAGAGCCTAAATCGTTATATAGTTGCCATGTGCTGCTCAGGAGAGTAATTTAGGTGTGTATGCAGAGTTTTAATAAAAATAAACCAGAACACATACTTCTTTAAATTTTTCCTTACAAATGTGTTTTAAGAATTCCAACTGCTATGTTCAATGGTGCATGGAAAATGATGTGTGCATTTCATTATATTGATGTACCTTAAAATTCAATGAACCTTCAAAGATAAGATGGATCCAAATAGGAAAAATCAGAACCAAACATAATACCATACCATTTAATGGTCAACATTGGAATATATTAATCGTTAGATTTTTAATATTTAGCATTAACATATTTTGGTATAGATCATTGTTCTGTATTGAGAGATGCATCAGGTTAACTTTACCATTCAATTAATGACACTGACACACAGTCATTAGATTTTACTGCCTGTATCAATTCAGTTTTTGAAACAGTATACCCCTAGATATAAAAGAAGCTCAGTATAATAACACCATGCCAGAAAGCAAAAAAATAATGAATCCCACTAGATAAATGGGAAAAAATCCTGATCATTACTAGAAATCATAAAATTTAATAACTTCAGCTAATTGTAACAAATAATGGCATATAACATCTTGCACAGGGAAGGGATGGGCAGGTGGTGGTGGGTGTATGATCTCTAGGTAGTTTGCTTCTATTTTCCTTTAAAATGGTGACAATAGTAATATTTATCTGATAGGAGTAAGCCAAAGATTAGATAATACATATAAAGCACTTTTACCAGTGCCAGGCACAGATTATGTGCTCAATACCTATGTTATCATCATTATTAAACTGTCTTAATAAGTACTTGCTTTTAAGACACATTCTAGCTGTTTATGGAAATTTAGTACGAATACTGATTGGAATATGTTAAAGTGTGCATGGATTTTCTTTTTCTCCCCACTTGCTTATGAAACATTTTAAAATTTATTCACAGGATGGGGTGCCTGGGTGGCACAGTCAGGTAAGTGACGACTCTTGGTTTAGGCTCAGGTCATGATCCCAGGGTTGTGAGATCAATTTCCGTTCAGGCTCCGTGCTCAGTGCAAAGTCCGCTTCAGACTGTCTCTCCCTCCCCTTCTGCTCCTCCCCCGGCTCATTTGTGCACTTTCTCTCTCTCAAATAAATAAAATCTTTAAAAAAAATTTTAGTCAGAGGACATGGATAAGTTTTCAAGCCCTCAGGGTCTATGATTAGTTACATCATGGAGTAAGTACAAAGGAGCCCCATAAGTAGATGTGGAAAAAATAATCTATATTAATTCATTATATACACTATAGTAGTCCCGCTCATGAGGACATAATCTATCCCACAGTGTGTCTGAACATTGTTTTCTAGATATAGATGCTTATGATGAATCTCCTATGTCCCTTTGACTATGTGATTAGAAAGAAATAGCCTCAGAGATGCTGTGGCAGCAAGAATTAAATATCATTTTCTTGATGATATAGAAGAAAAATCACATCTGATTTCTAATGTAATTGGGATGTAAGAGATGACAATTTGTGTGAATTTTTGTATCACACTAATGAGAAAATATATATTCACAATTTTAAAAAGGACACTATCCTTCTATCTTATTTCCCCCAATGAGAGAAAAATGTCAACTTTCAGCCTTTATACATAATTTGGCTCATGACTGACATAAAATCTGATTACCAGGGATGATGCTCACGCAAGGAAAGTTGAGATGCCTAGAAGTTAGCAAGATGCAGAACCTTGGAGTGTTTTCTTTCTGGAAGCCCCCTTTACCTGTGCAGACCACAGGGCATGCTCACCTGCACCACTGAGCCACTCTGTTCTCAGGAGTCAAGAAGTGCTCATTTCTCTGTGAGAGCTGCTATTCACTGCTGCTTCTCTGACTATTCAAAAAAACTCTACAAAATTAAAGAGAAATATATACAAAAAATAAATAACTAATCTGAAAATGTTCCCTGGTTAGGTCACGTTTACAGTAAAACCTGCCAAAGCAAGGATGATGAACCAGACCCATCAGCAATGAAGAGACTCAAGATTGCACAATGGCCTGAGTTCATCAGACCACTCCTGAGGACACTGTCTGCTTTCTGATTGGATCAAATGCTACATCTTGACTGCTTTACAGGCCATAATTCTCATCCATCCCAACTCCTTTGGCTCCCACGTCACTGATGTAGCAGAGGAGTTATAATTTTGGTCCCTTTCTCCTACCCAAACTTCTAATCTCTCCGTTCTGAATTGATCTAGTTATTCACCTTTTCCACTCTGTCCCCAGCCTCCTGCGGACTGTTAGATTAAATCACACATTTGAGCAGATTGGTGTCATCACGCTTTCCAGGAACACAGTGGCAGCTGGGTTTCAACACTGCTCAGCAATATTGTAATCCCCACTGGTCAACTACCTGGGCTGTTCATCACAGCAACGATTTTAATTCTTTATTAACCTCCTCACAAAACCTGCCACCAGCCACTTTTCTCTGCTGATAATTTCTCTTCCTTCACAGAGAAAATTGAGGCTTTTAACCTATATTCAAAACGTTTGCTTTTCTACTGACTCCCACACAGCCCTAAATATCCTCTGGTATCTCCTATTAAACGTACAGATACAGTTCTTTCCTCATCAAATCTCTCTCTTGAGCTACTCCTTTATCTTTCTCCATCCTTTCATAGCCAAGTGGTTTGGAAATAGGGATCAAATTCACTAGCACATTTAGTTTCCCATTTAAAATTTTAATCTATAGCAAACTGACTTCTACCCCCATCAACTTCACTGAGAATGTTCTGGCTAAGTTCTTCAATTACCTTCTAAATGCCAAAGCCAAGGAAGCCTCCCCAACCTTCCTTTTATTTCAAGTCTCTACAGGGCCTGTATTTCGTCTTAGAAATACAAGTTATAAATGTATTTCTACTACAAAGATTGTACTTTTCCATTGTAGAATCTTTCAACTATATGAAAAGAAGGGGAAGAAATCTGTACACATCCTTGCCACTCAGGATAAAGTGGTGTTTCACACTCTCATGTATTTCTTTTTAAGATTTGTTGTAGGCACATACTGACATTCTGTACAAGTGAACATTATGCCTTTTTTTAAACATTGTACCATAAAAATTTCCTCGTGTTATTAAGTAATCTTTAGAATGATATTTTAAGGCTGTATAATTTTCCATCATATGGAAAAATATACTGTACTTAATTCTTGCACAGCATGTAAACAACCAGACACATTCCTATAGTATTGAGTGTCCTGGAAAAACTTAACATGAATGGTAGCAAAGGATTTTGGTACTGTAATTATATAATAATTGAATTAATCTCTCTTTCTGCTAGACTTTTAGGCTATCAAATTTTTGCTACCATAAATAGCATTACAATGAATGCTAAGGTACTCAAGATCATCTTCTATGTGTGTATTTGCTAGCTCTTTCCAAATCAGAATATAAACTTTCCCTTTTAAGATACTGGTTTCTTTTGCAATTACCACATAGAATTTGTCCCTATATCTCCAAAAGAACATATTATTGGAGCTTATACCTAGCTGGGAAGAAGACAGGGAACACCATTAGTGGCAAGGGGCATGGCTAAATATTGGGTTCTTTCATTCAGAGATAAGAGGGCCAATGTGAGATTCCTGGAAGTCTTATCTAGGAGATATCTTTTTATTTGTTTAGACTTTTCTGGGTTACAAAATTACTTTATTGTACCAAACACTGCTTACGCATTTCAATTACTGTACTTACCTTATATAGAAGTGAGGACTGTTGGTGACAATACTTTAGATACATTCTCTTCGACTGAGGGGGAGATGCTAAATAAATAATAAAGTCTTCCCTGGCTTCAGATATTGCAGACAAAACTCGCTTTTGAATTTAACCTTTTAAAGACTCACAAAAGTCTGGAAATGATTTTGTTGTGTTATTTATGACTTATACTAATTAAGTCCGCCTCCCCTACTAAGCATGAGGGCACTGTGGAGAAAATGGATTGTCAAGGGCAAACAGAGATTGCAGATCATTTAGTTTCAGTCTTGCTCTGAATCTTGCTCCAGTAATTAGCAGTCTACAAGCTGAAACAAAGCATCAGAAGAAAGGAGAGTCTCTCCTGGTATCTGTGGAAAATAAGATGGGAATGAGAAAGATGGCAAGAAGAGAATCTTCCTATTTGAACACAAGTACCAATTTATACCTGATTTTGCTTCTGAAATTATTTTTCAGGAATTTGTGCATCATCCTTGTGCAGGGGCCATGCTCATCTTCTCTGTATTACTCCACCAATTTTAGTACATGTGCTGCCAAAGCCAGCATGCTTCTAAAATTATTCTGATTTAAACTGTGAAAAAGATATGGAAAAGAACAAGTTTTAATTTTCTCCTTATGTTTATAGGGAAGCAGCCTAGGAAGATAGTCTTTGATTAATTGATAGATTAGTCTAATGACCCCCAACTCATAACTGTATTTTCAAATTCAGTGATAGATGCAAGACCAGTTTTGATCAAAGCGGGCCTACATTTTCGGAAATCTCTTCCAACCCAAATAAATATAACTAAGTAGATTTTCTGACTTCAAGCTCCTGAAAAAGTAAATGGTGTTATACTGAAAGTTTTGGTTGAGACACACAGATATAAAAGACATTGTGTAATAAAGTGTGTTAGGAGTCAGATCACGATGTAGCTAAGCTATCAAAAGGAAATGCTGGGAACCAATACTCACTTAGCTGGAGGGCAGAAAATGGTTAGGATTTTTAGTTATACAGAGAGGAGTTTTATGAAGATGATTTCTTCAGAGAAATCTATGCCATTCTTCCCACTTTGCAAGACACAGGAGGATGGGTATGTGAGTTGGCATAAGCATGCACGTCTGTAGGGGAAGGGGGGATCATAATCTACCTCTTTTATGTTGAGGGTAGAAGGCCAGGTTCCAATGGAGCCTCAAAGAAAGCTTGCTTCATGCTGCCAGGAAGGAGCAAAAATGGTAAAATAGAAATCTGACTCTTGCTATTGAAACTTAGAGGTCTACAGAACAAAAAAAATTTAATTAAAAAAAGTTATAAACAGAGCAGTACAACAACAAACATGGGCACACAGGAATTTCCCTGGACTTCTGCTGAGCAGGGACACAGGTCAGGTGATATTTTTCATGAACCAGATGTGATCTGTGAGACAGGAAGAGTCAACCTGGACCTATTTTTGACACCTGAACAAGTAAACCACCTGGGAAGAAGACAGAACTCCAGTAGAGAGTCTGTGTGGTTTGAAGGTCCTGAAAATTAAGGGTCGAGGGAAGAGTAGGAATAGTATCACAGAAAACATCACCCAGACTGCAATTCAGCACAACCAGCTAGCTGACAGGTCCGGGAGCTCTGAAGAAGTTATGAAAACGACCATACAAGAGAGAGCATCTGCTTTAAAGATCTTCCCGGTCTAGAGAGAGTGAAACCAAACTACAACAGGACCAGGTAGGGAGAACTTTCCTACCACCCATTTCTCTTCTCCCTCAATTCTATCAGGTAGGGTGCATGTGTGCATGTGTGTGTGTGGGGGGGTGAGTATGTGAGGGTGTCCATCACAGAGAGAAGAAGCTACTGCTCTTCCTCTCTCATGTCACGACTTCTCTTTCTATCAGCCTGCCTGGAGGAAGGAGTCAGTGACAGTGGAAGTGTTGATGAGTATTTTTGGCTAGATACTTGTCATCACTAAATGGAGGCTATTTGTTATACCTTAAGGGAGCCACAGGAATTTCTATTATTGTGAGAAGACAAGACTGGGGTCACGATTTCAACTATACCTGAGCTTCTGGATGCCTCAGCTGCAAAAGCAGCTTTTAAACCCCTGGAAATGGGGGGATCCCTGGGTGGCTCAGAGGTTTAGTGCCGCCTGCAGCCCAGGGTGTGATCCTGGAGGTCCAGGATCGAGTCCCACGTAGGCTCCCTGCATGGGGCCTGCTTCTCCTTCAGAGACAGAGGCAGAGACACAGGCAGAGGGAGCCTGACATGGGACTCGATGCTGGGTCTCTGGGATCACACCCTGACCTGCAGGCGGCGCTAAACCACTGCGCCACCAGGGCTGCCCTTATCAGAGGACTTTGAAGAGGCTACAGGCATTTTGGGGTATTCTTCACTTTCAGACTAATATTGATATTTTTCAACATTATTAATCATTGAAAATTCAAAAAGACCACAAGGGTAAACCGTAGGGAAAGATAAGTTTCACTCAACGCTATTACATGAAAAGTGGGTTAAAAAAAAACCATCAAAGAGAATATACAATGGATAAGAGAGAGATTTCCCAGATATTTTGTGAAATATGTTCTTGAAAATTACACTGTTGGAAGATTCTGAATAGCCTATTTCATGACCAGTTTCAAATAATATTTTGTTTAGAAGTATACTTTTTTTCAAAAAGACAGGATTAATTCCCATCAGTTGGGCTCTAAGACCAGATGCATATGATGAGATTACTCAAAAGTCATGAAAATTCCACAGACTACAAAACGGGTAGGTTTACTTGGCTTGCACATAAATAAAAATACATGTACACGTTGGACCAATGTTTTGAAGCAAAGATGAGGGAGAAATTCAGAATTATTTTCAGATGCTAGAAGATTAATTGCAGTCATGCAATTCTCAAAGAAAGAGATTTCCCCATTATAGGTCATGGTGACAAAAGGCATTCTTGAAATAACAGAAATATCATGAAAATCATGGAATTAAGTACAGGATCTGATTAATTTTTTATGGTAGCCCTTGCAGATAAAATTAAAGCAAGAAAAGACCAGTTAGACCTATTTATCAAAAGCATTTTATAAATAATTATTTTTAAAAAGAGAAAATCTATACAAATTGAGGTATGTCCATTTAAAAATATGGAAGGTTAAATATTACTCGCTGGTTGTAGATTCTTTGTGAAATGCAACAAATATTGAACAGCTGGGGCTTATTTTATGCTGCTGTTAAAAAGGAAACACTATGAATTTTTTTTTTGCCTTTTCACAAATAAAACCATCTGTCACTTTTCAATAAAGTGAATACCAGGGATGGTTGTAACCACTGGTTGGACAACACATAACTGTTAGAAAAGTAAAGAGAAAGGGCTGCAGTCATTTTTTAATGGCATCATTATATGACCCTAGGTGACATCAGCAGGAAGAGTGGGGCAAGAACAAAAATCCTCTTCTCCATAGAAGAATATTGGCATGATTGACAAAAATCAAGATTTTTTAAATTCTGGAAATCTACCAACAGGATTAACATAGGGACACTTATAGGCTCCATGTAGGAAAGTAGTTGAATCTCAGTAAGAACAGTTAGTTTTATCCAGTTTTTGATTTCCCTGTCTCCATCCCAGAGATAGGGGTGGAATGGCTGATACCATTGAAGGTTGAGAGACCCCTTCCACTGGCATTGAAGACTAATTAGAATCCAGAGGCTCAGCGTCCCCAGCTTCAGCAGGATCTTCCCATGTATCCCCATTCCAATTTAAAGGCTCTTATTCTTTCCTAACCATTGCTCTCACTTTAACAGAAGACATCCTGTGAGACTGGGAATTCAACTTGTAACTCAGCCAATTGCAGGATGGGGTCCTGTGTTGGAGTTTCAGCAATTTTGGCCCTGCCTATACAGTGTCTCCTTCAGGGCAATGCTCTCAGGTCATTTATGTGGTGTTTGAGCTGAGAAATGAAATCTCTGAGCTCATCTGTTTCTTTCACCACTCTGTCTAGCCACATTGCGAGCAACTAAACACTGTTATTTATATTCCTCTGTTTTCCAAAAATGTTTGAAAGTCTTACATATAGATCACTTAAAGCCTTGATTAAGAGTATCCAACGCATGTGTTTTGCATATTGCTATAAACAGTTCACACCATGGACTACCAGTGCTCTCTTTATTGCTAGAAATAATCATTAGCATCTTTAGATCTAATCTGATTAGAGAGCCAATTCCAGAAGACCCAGAACCAATTCAGAAAACTCACCTTTAAATTTCCCTTCCTCTAAAACCACTTTTGGTACTAAAGTCTGTATTATTCATGTTTCTCCAGAGAAATCAAACCAAGACGATATAGATATACAGATCAATATTTATTATAAGATATTTGTGTATGTGATTATGAAGACTGAAAAGTCCCATGATCTGCCATCTGCAATCTGGAAACCCAAGAAAGCCAACCCAAAGGTGGCAAGACCAGGGGTCCAATGGTCCCAGTCCAACTCTGCAGATCTGGAAAGTAGGAGCACTGATGTCCAAGGACAAGAGAAGAGAGATATCCTAGCTCAAGTATTGAGAGCAAATCTGTCCTCCCTCCACCTTTTTGTTCTACTTGGGTCCTCAGTGGGCTGGGTGATGCCCGTCACACTGGTGAGGGCAATCTTTTTTTTCTTTTCTGTGTACAGATCCACATGCTGATCTTTTCTAGAAACACATTCACAGGCTGAGCCAGAAATAATGTTTTTCTAGCTATTTGGGTATCAGCCCAGTCAAACTGACCATAAAATTAACCACCATAATGTCTGTACCTTACTGTGATATTGTTCCTGTGAATAATGATTACAAATGAAAGATTTCCCTTCCTGAAAGGAGAGTGGATTGGTCCTGAGGAGGCAAACAGGAGGAAGCTCATTAAGCAGGACCCCAGCCTCTCCACAGAAGTCCCCAGGTACCACTGGGATGGTGGTTCATGAGGTTGCCATGCAGACAGCACATTCTGGAAATCCACAGTGAACTGCAGAAGGGGAAGGGCTAGGAGGGCTAGGAGGACACCTAGCCTGTTGCATGTCGGGGGTTGCAGGAATGCTGGAGGGTGAGAGTAGGTGAGAGTAGGACCTTCCCAAGGCACATAGGTATAAAAATTGGCCCTGGCTCTCAGACAATAAGTCCACTAATAGGTCCTAATGAACTTTTGCTTGTGTGAAACCCTCACCCTCGACCCTAAGAAAAGAAGCACACCAGCCCTGTGCACTTCTCCCTAACTTCTGCTATGACTCTGCCATGCAGCCCTATGTATGCCATGTAATTTCCAGGATATGTAAGTAATAAACCTTTTAAAGACTTTTTTCAAAGTTTCCTGGTGGTTACTGCTGAGGGCATCTTGAAATCATAGTAAGAATCACAAGGGCCAGTCCAGCCACATCATTGGTTGTCAATAGGCTGAGACTGACATAAAGCACCACCTCACAGCATAAAGCATCATTCATGAACAAGGCATGGTGTGCAAACATGCAGCATTTGGTTTCCCTTATCATGACTGTGACAGTATATGGAGCACAAAAGGGCAAATAATGCTCTACAACTGGGATAATAATATTTTAAG